TGTGAGGAGCTTTTGTTTTGTTTCGATAAACTTGTTGATTGTTCGCCGGTTCCCACCTCCTTCTTCCCTCAACAACAAACCTCATTACAGTGATAACTTTATGTCATAGACCAAAGCATGATTGCTCCATAAATGCTGCATAAGAAAAGCATATCAGCTGCAATGAATTGTGGGTTGCATCTAGCATCATAGCATTATGGGGCCACAAAAGATTTCATTCATCCTATCATAATATCAAGTTTCTGAAATAAAGGGGCAGTTAGGGTCTCTATCATGCCATATCAGTAACAAAGTGAAACTAGAAGCTAAAGTTTGTGAACAAACTTTGATGTTGGCTTGATAAAGCCTGAACCTTGAACCATTCTTCACCGCTCTCTGTGGTTCCTATGGGCAATAAAAAGCAAAAAATAAGAGACTTCCAGCGATGGCTAGCTGCAAGGCGCCTTTGTCCTTGTTGGCACCTCCTGCACAGGGAGGGTTTGATGGCTCTTCATCAGTGGAGGAACCTCGTGTAATGGCAGACCGGTAAATGGACGCGGAAATGAACGTCACAAACTTCAAATAAATCTTTTAGAGTTGACGGCAGTCTTTCGGGCCCTGGAACATTTTCTCCCGTTATTGAAAAGGTTTCATGTTCTGGTTAGGACAGACATTGTCTGAGTAAGTGGAGGGGCCGTGGCTAGCCATAGGTTAATTTGGTCTAGGACTAGGCTTAATCTCTGACCAGAAAACCATCCCAATACGTTTAAGTAGTATACAGTATGGCTTTCTCAAGCCAACATAATCACTGGTCATGCTATTGATAGATACATAATCAGCTCTTAGTTGTATGGCAGTTTCAGTCTTGAGTAGCACATTACGACAATACACCACATTTTGTACACCGATTGATCGCTATTGATGTAGTAAATGATCAGGCATTGTCATTTTGTTTATGTCCATCACGCCTGGAGCACAAAACAAAATGCTTTTAAGGTTTAAAGCTTGGTCATCCATCATTCGGGTCCATTTCCTTACCGGCCACCACACCATACTTCTGCCAGCCAGGAAAAAGCCTCCTACTGTGGATCGATTGGTCCGTACCATTGCCTTTGAAAAAAAAAAAAAAATTCAATTCAGCCTATGAGGAGTTCCAGAAACTAAACATTTTATACAAAATCACATTTGACTTATGGTGTCATACCTCCAGACACTTTTCACAATAACATTTCACATTTGTAGTCTTAAAGTGTTGATGGATTGGCGTTCAATGACCTTGTTAAAAAAAATATGCCAGTAATATAATGTCCTTAATTAAGACACTAAGACTGTCCAAAAAATTCACAAGTTGATTTGAGAAAATTATAATGTACTGAATGAACTTTAGTGTTAAATAGATAGAAGTACCAGTCACATCTTGTCTTGTCATGTGATTCCCTGTCTTAGGGTTAGGGTTGTGTATGCCGACTGAGCAATGACAGCCTCAACCCGTGTAACCTCCATGACCTCGCTTACTGGTTGAAAGTGAAGGCAGAGGCCCAGCGTCACAGCGCTACCAGATTGAGAGAGTTGATGTCCCATGTAGAGAACGTCAACCCATTCTGAAGCCACTGCAGTTTATCATGGCAGCGACCAACCCAAAGTGGTTAGTACATTACGTCCACCAAGAGCCTACTCATGGTCAGCAATTAGTCAAGAAACTGAATAGTCTGTATCTGTTTTGTAAAAGTCAAGAGCACTACTTGTCTTAGTGCAGTGAAATCACAGAGCGCTCACCTGAACAGAGTGGTGGATTAAGGACAGCAAGACATGTTGGATATTTGGTTGTACAAGTCATAAATGTGAGGAATACATGCTAAATAAACCAGTGTCCTGTATTTCATCGCTAGGAGGGTCCCAACTTTGTGTTACTTACAATGTCTGCCAATTGAGCATATCTAACTTCCCCTAGCTCCACAGGATGTGTTTACTTGAAAGTCCTCCCAGTACTTCTGTCGAAAGGCAAAAGGTCTATACCAGCATATGCTATCCTGGGTGATGGGGTCCAAAGGAGTATTGTTCTTCCAGCAGCAGTTCAGCAGCTTGGACTTGCGGGTAGGGATTAAGAGATTATGGCCCTTCACACCATCTGACATGATGCCACAGATTTGAATGGGACAATCAATTGATCTGCTGCCCAAACCAGATCACAGTTAAGGGGAGCCCATCAGACTAGGACCAGCTGGTGGACCGGCAGCTGTACGTACACAGCTCGGTTGGGTTCTCCAGGGACTAGATGGACTTCTCCCACATCAGGTACCATCATCAAAATGCTTATTCACTTCTCTAACTACAATTCGAGATCCTGTCTATGAACATGTTGAGTGACTGTGGAAACTCGACGTCCTCCCATACCTCAGTGAATAGCTGGTAACACGATCAAAATAACACAGTCTCATCCCAAGAAGTCATATAACTGACGTCTCGGGACGTCTTTTGACCATACGTCAACATCCGCCGTTTTAGGGTACCCTTTAACGTCAGTTACATGACGATCCTGGGACGTCATACAACTGACGCTTTACCTTTAACGTCAGTTAGGTTCAGGGGTAGGTTTAGGTCTGGGGTAGGGTTAGGATCCAATAACGTCATCTAACCGACATTAAAGGGTACCCTAAAACATAATGTTGACGTATGGTCAAAAGACGTCCCAAGACGTCAGTTTTATGACGTCTTGGGATGACACTGCACTGATCAAAACAGGATCAAGCAGCTGTGAATACATGTATGCAGGAGACCAGAACACCACTTGTAGAAGTTAATGGCATCTGGCGTTACGCTATTTTGCTTTTTAAAATTGTTTCTCTAGCAGAGCTGTAGAGACTTGTGATGTTGGGCTGATTGATAGTGTTAATTATTTGATTTAAGTTATTTGCACTTTAATTTATTGAAGAGAATAACTTTTATTTTTCTTCTATGAACAAGACTGGAAGGAGTCCTGTTGAGGATTTAGATTCCTCCTCTTTTGAAAAGTGCAACCGGTGAGTAACCCCCTTGAATTTTTATTTATTTATTAATATTTAATATATTTATTTATTTTTATTTATTTACTAATATTTAATATATTGATTTATAAATATTAATAAAATCCTCCTCTCCTTTAAGAACATTTAGGGCAATTATTAATTTGTTTCATATTATTATTTTGTGTAATATTATTATTTTGTTTCTTTATCATTAATCTGCATTCATACATAAAAACATATAAACTATTGGGAAGCTAAGCATAAGAATCAATATGAAACAATGCCAATAAATGAATAAATTATTTTTCAGATTGAAGTTATAAAGGGCTCTGGGGTGTTTTGCCAGGCAGAAGTGTGGAAAGCAGCCCTCCTTGCCACCTCTGCTACTGCCATGGTGTGGAATCTGCTGCTGGGCACATTTGATCTGGAGACTTTGCTGAAAAACAACCTGAATGGTACAAAACATTCTTCTAATCTCTTCTGTCCATAAAAAACAATTAATATTCTGTGGAATAAATTATGTTTGTGTGCGGGCATACCATCGCTTTTTTACTTGCCATTTTTGTATTTCCTTGCACCTCAAGAAAATGTGATGTGTATATAAAAAAAGTATTGCTTTCACAAGCTTCATTTTAACCCCCTTTTATAATAATTTTGAAATTTTACTTTAAGGTGGGAAGCCAACCAGAGGGGATGGGGAGCAGCTGGTCGCCCTTGACCAAATTAAAAAGGCATCATTATTGGTGAGTAAATGTATAAAAGTTTTGTTTTCCCTTCTCAACGCATTAGGATTTTATAAGTTCACCACTTTAACCATAGCCTACTTGTATCAATGTTTATTAGGCATCAATTGAGACTGTATAAAGGATTATTGTTACTATATCTACTTGGAACCTATAATACTAATTCATCGCTTGCTCAGTTCTTGATCCTAACTTTCCTTTTCTTAAGCCACGTTTCAGATTTTTCAGAATCTTCAGAATCTTCCAATTGACATGTTTACATGACGCATTTTTTAAAATGATCAACCTTTTATCAAAAAATATGTGTCCGATCACATCTGTACTGTAAGCACTTTGGGTTCCTGATGAAGTACTATATTCTTCTTCTTCTTATTATTATTATTATTATTTTTGTCTTCTCTAGATGCTACATTGAAGAAGTGTCCGTCAGCAGCCGAGGGGAGATGGGCACGTCTATCAATTCAAAGCTCATGGAGCTGAGAAGATCAAAAAGATTTTTTTTCTATCCAGTTTTTTTGTCTTATTTTTGTTTTTGTACTATTTGATCTTAAGTAAATAAAATAATCTAAATGCATACATTTTGGACTATTATTTATGTTGCCTAGTAGCTATGGATTTTAATAATTATTCTAATATAGGTAAACATGTTGGTGCATGTATAAATGCACCTATATGTGCACATATATGCGTACATACATGTACATATATAGGTACATGTATGCATGTATATATGCACCTATATGTGTACATATATGCATGCATACATGTACATATATAGGTTCATATATGCACAAATATATGCACCTATATGTGTACATATATGCGTGCATACATGTTCATATATGCACCTATATGTGTACATATATGTGTGCATACATGTACCTATATAGGTGCGTATATATGTGTATATGCACGTATATATGTACATATATGTGCATATATGTACATATAATATAGGAAAACGGCCAATTTTATATATGTCACATATATTAAAAACATATATCAAAACCTATATTAAAACATATATGTTTATATAGGTTTTTTCCATGACAAGGAAACAGACAAAAAGAAATACAAAAAATAAACATGACTAAAACAAACTCAGAATTTGACATATTATATTATTTTTATATTGTAAACTTTTTGTAAAATCAGCTAGAATCATCATTCTTTCTTCAGACTTATCTGACACAGCCCATGTAAATGTATATGTTAACGCAAGGTCAACAAGTCAATGGAAGTAAAATGTTGGTGGATGTAAACTGCTGGCCACTTACCCATACTCCTACAGCCAGAACCACAAGAAAATATACAACAATCACCGAGATGTCCGCTGCATTGTTAATATAAATGGTGACATTTCTTTTGTTCTCATTGCGGAGATAAGAGAATCCAAAATAATCTGCTCCCATTATGATGGTGTTTGAGCAGGGCAAGTGGAGCACCACACACTGCGTCCCTCTCTGACACGATGGTAAAGAGACCTGACTCAAACGTTTACCTGCAGGTGTGTGACCATATGTGCACACGCTTTCACTTACACGTGTGTGTCTACAGATGGGTGTGACCTCCTCAGAGTTAATTTTAAAAGTGTGTTTGTGACTTAAAGCTGTCAAAATCAGAGATTAAAATGATAAATCATTAATTTATATAGTGGGAAGTGTGAAACTGAGCTCCTAGCCTAAAGTGTAAAAGCACTTTTCATCAACTGCATCTTAATTAATGGGTTTCATTGAGTCAGCTAAAGATCAACTCCTACAATGTATATGGTCCAGACATTAGTGTATACACTGCAACACCTTTTGCACACCCTGAGGTGCAAAGTAGCATTGCATCTTGAAGACAAAAGAAAGTGAAAATGGCTGATGAAACATCAAAATAAATTTTACATACAGGGCTCCCCACCCTGAAGTGATACAATTGGCAAAATCTATTCTGTTCTATGAGAAAGTTGTAAAGGTTAGCCGCTCAGTGCCTGATTAAAAAATGACTGAAAACTGATTTACAGTGTATTTATTCTTTATCATGACAATGTGAATTTATATAATTTATCATTTGAATAATCTAATTACTACATTAAATTGCCAAAGCTAAAAAAAAATGTGATTTCAGTTGTGTTTTCAGTTAGCCTTTAGTTTGCAAGCTAACAGTTTAGCTACTATCTTAGCATCGCATTAACAAGTTAAGAAAGGCGCGTTATCCAAAATCAGATATTACATTTGGTTTGAAACTTGTTTTGTGACAGTTAAAACGTACTCTGTATAATCTGTATAGTATGAAAGTGTGTAGTATGAATAATATTCAGATGTATGTAGCCTACTACACCAGCCATGTTGTCACTGTCATGTGATCTACAGCATCAGTTGTGTCGCTTCACTGACAAGTGTTCATTGAATGTGCACTTCAGAATCTCGCCAGAAGTAGTCGGTCAGCACAGGTACTTCCTACGGTTTATGAATACTGAAATTCTTTTAGTTCATTAGATAACCAATTTTTTTTGCCAACAATGTGCTGCTAAAGGATCAATCATTAACCAATGATGCTTTGAACATTTTCAGGTTCAGATAGTAGATGAATATCTTGTTGGTTATATCACGATACGAACAGCCGAATCTCAATATCCTGCTTGTTTTGGAAATATAATGGGCATAGTCTGCTCTCTTTTGGTCCAGACAATGATGGATTAGCTTTAAAGGTGCACAGATTAAAAAAAAAAAAAACTGATCATATGGCATATGGTTGACAAAGACATCTTTGGCTTTATGAACTTCTCAACAATGGCTTTAATACCATACCATCATATCACAGCCTTATAATCTTAAATCTTATAATCATAAACCCCTGACCTTCTTCATGGCTTTAATCTTATTTACTTTTATTATACTATTATAACTCTATCGTACAACGTAACTCCTGCATATCAATATTTATGGTCTGTTAAAAGCATCTCTTGCCAGAATTTTTACACAATCAAATACAGCAAGATTACACTGACCGAAGAGCTGGTGTTTCCGGCACCAATATTTATGCATTTTAATGAATGCTAATATAATCAGACTGTATTTAAGTTCACGATACATGTCTTCCATAAACATCTCCATCCCAGAAACAGCTTTCCTATGAAGATGATGTCACGTAGGCAGCACAGACTAATGAATAAGTTTGTTTCACGCTGTTTTGAAAAACTTTCATGCCATTTAAAAAATGTAACGTGTTGTGCAATCATCATCTAAAAGTTTTTTTTCTTTGCATATATGCATATATATGTAAAGTATATATTTGAGGAACACTTAATACTAATGCAATTCATGTCTAATATTGTAATAATGTCTAAAAAAACAAATACTGTGCAAGTTGTTTAAAGTGTCAGATAATTTGACCGTTTTATGACAAACCAAAGTTAGTTGTAAAAGGCTTGTCATAAAAAGGTAAAATTATCTGACATAAAAGACTTATTGACCTTGACCAGTCACGAGGCTCCACGGAGGTCTTCTGATTTCATGTGCTGTTTTTTGTTCTGCATGTTGGTTGAACCACGTGACTTTTCAGCAAGTGTTTTCAGATATTGGTAAAAAGTTTTGTTAAAATATTATTTTATAAATATTATTATCATTATTATATAAATAGTAAATTTAGTATAATATATTTAGTATAAAATAGTATTTACTATTTAGTATAAAATAGTAAATATTGCCAAACTACTTAAGATTCTCTCATCAAGATTTATTTTAATGAGGCTGTTAAAAATAATAAAAATAATTTTATTTATTATGATATCAGGACAGTTGTGTCACCTTTGAATGGTTTACTTCATATTAAAATGATTTTTAATTCAGATTAATTTGCCAATGAAATTACATTTTTTCTATCTTGTTTTTTGAACAATGACACAATGACTTGTCATTCTGATTGCACTGATATGCAGTGGTTAAACTGGCTTTTATAGGGAGGGGGAGCCCTTATTTACGGTGAATGGTCATCACTCAAAATCGCGCTGTAAATTAATGTGTATACAACAAAGGGGCTCTTTATCCAGTATTAACGTAATGTTAACAAGCAGGCAACTGATATCACCCTGGGAAAATGTATGAAATTGAACATGTCTGAAAGTTTTGGTTGGCAAATATGTAAACATTGTTTTGCTTTGATTGGACTCAAACATTGACATTGACGAGCGGGTGGTGCTGAAACAGCTCAGATGAGAACGATATCGCGATGAGCGAATCATTGCAGCAGCAAATTAGAGTTAAAATTAATTAGGCAATTATTTCACAACTTTCATTAAATACACTCAACAAAATGTATTTGGTGGTGCTAAAGGAGACAGAGATGAGCTCTGGCTGATGTGTTGTGTATGAGACTGTTTTCACTCCATAATTGTAGACTGCGCTGCTGATATATTCATTGACGTAAATATACTTACTTTGATTGATGAACTAAGTTACAGGCTTTTGCAGGTAATACATTGTGTGGTGTTGTTTGTACGAATTATTTTGAAATATATGCACTAACTGGTTTGCAAATCTCAAGGGACATTACTGCATCTCCAGCACGCTATGTGGCGCTGTCCAACTCTGTATTATGAACACGAAGAAGTAACTGTACGCTTAGTTCAGAAAACAGTGCAAATGTTGCATTATTTTTGGAAGATGTATGTTAAACTTTGCATCGTCAGTTTATAAAAGAATATCTACCCTCTACCGTATTGCCTTACAATTGGACAACGTCTTTGCAAAGCGCCCTCATGGTTGGAAGAAACGCGTCAAGCGACTTGTAAACAAAAAGCAGGATGACAGACTGTCATGAGTTTGATATTGCTTCTTCATTTCCAAGCACTTTAAGTGTTATTGAAACTTTTGTTCAAGTATGTCATGTCGATTGGAAGAATGCAGCAATAAAAATGAAATTCTGCTGACCGCTTAATCACTGGACATTTTTCTGCATATAAATGTGTGTGATTGTAGAACTGAAGACTACACAATGACCGTGACCATAAAGGCTAACAAGGCTTACAAGCTTGTGGTGCATAAAAAGGGCTTTGGAGGCAGTGGTGAGAATATTCTTAATACGTAATATATATATTCTTAATTATGTACTGAATTAGTTTTAGTTTATGTCTCTGGTTTGTGTTTTTGCATGCATCTCTTTACACTCATTGCTTCTCCTCAGATGATGAGGTGATGATGAACCCCAAAGTCTTTCCCAATGTTAAACTGGGGGATATTGTTGAGATTGCACATCCAAATGATGAGTACAGGTGAGAGAAAGGAGCTTTCTGGTGATTTCTAGTTCATTTCACTGAAAAACAGCAATATTGTTAAATATTATTACAATTTAAAATGTTTTAAAATGAATATAATTTAAAATGCCATATGTTCCTGTGATCAAAGCTGATTTTTGAGCTGATCATTACGCCAGTCTTTAGTGTCACATGATCCTCCGAAATCATTCTAATATGATGATTTTATGCTCAAGAAACATTTCTCAGCTGTGATCAAAATAAATAAATAAATTCTAAAAGAGTAATGTTGCTAAAAATCCAGGAACCACAGGAATAAATGACCTTTTTAATATTCAAATAGAAAACCATTTTTTTTTTATCATGTTTAAGATCAAATAAATTGCATCCTTGGTGTTTGCAATCTAGAAAAAAGTCCCATTTAAACCTAAAATCATTAGAAAAATTATAACAAGTCATATTTTGGTTAGCTAAAAATTAAACCACAAATGAAACTGCATTGTGAAAAAATCTATTGTGTTTTCTAAGCACTTCTTTGATTGTCTTTTATCATGCAATATTGAATATTGTCTTGTACATTAGTATAATTCTTGCTAATATTATTGTATTTTTAATCTCTTTGTCTTAGTCCTCTTCTGCTGCAGGTCAAGAGTTTAAAAGAAGACCTGCAGAAAGGTGAATTTTCAATTATTTGCGTAATTTTCTGAACTAGTAACTATTAACCAGCTGCATCTCAGTGTTCATTTTTCCACCAACAGAAACTATCAGTGTAGATCAGACAGTAGCTCAGGCCTTCAAGCTTCGCGCCTATCAGGATGTCATCATCAATATTGTAGATCCAAAGGTATTTTATACAGAAATACTCTTTAATGCACAATGTCCTACTATTTATATACAGAGTATATTCACAATATTGCTCAGCTTCTCATAGCTTATTACCTAAATGCTCTTTTTGAAATTGAACAGGATGTGACTTTGGATCTGGTGGAGCTCACTTTAAAGATCAGTATATTGGACGAGGAGACATGTGGAGACTGAAGAAGAGCTTAGTGAGTAGAATCTGCATGAAAATGTTTTGTTTTTAATTTTTGATACCTCACAGTGGTCTTTATATCTCAGTGATGTTCTTTCAGGTGAGCACATGTGCGTATGTGACACAGAAAGTAGAGTTTGCAGGAATCAGGTAACAACATCCATTATTACAAGCTGTCTGGAATATTCCATTTTGATTGGTCAATCTCTGAAGTGTTATCTCATAACTTACACAGCTGTTCAATGTTCATTTTTTTAAAGAAATTAGTACTTTTATTCAGCAAGAACACATTAAATTGATCAATGTTGTCAATGTTTCAAAAGAATAAATGCTTTTCTTTTGAACTTTCATCAAAGAATCCTAAAATAAATTGTATCATGGCAAAAACTGTTTGAAAATTGAGAATAATAAGAAATTACGGTAAGCAAATAATCATGTTAGAATGATTTCTGAAGGATCATGTGACTGAAGACTGGAGTAATGATGCTGAAAACATAGCTTTACCATCACAGGAATAAATTACATTTTAAAATATATGAATGAAAGAATGAATGAGGCATTTAAATAGCGCTTTCATATGCATTACTGTACACCCAAAGCGCTGTACAATCATATCAGTGGATCTCTCCTCAACCCCAACCATATATTTAAAGTGGTAAATATTTTGATCAAATAAATTGAGGCTTGTTGAGCATGAGACTGCTAAAAATATTAAAATATTTTACAAATCCCAAACTTTTAATGGTTTTATCATGATTTCAGGGCCCAGGCCAGTGAATTGTGGGTTAAAGGAGAGAAGGTCACTTGTGGCTACATTAGTGAAGATACAAGGGTGAGAATATCTCTTTGGAAATTCAGTTAGTGTTATTATCACTTTTTTCACATGTCATGGATGTTTTTTCGAACTAGGTTGTTTTCCGATCCACCTCTGCGATGGTTTATATATTCATTCAAATGAGCTGTGAGATGTGGGACTTTGATATCTATGGTAAAGAGAATTCTTTTACTATTATGTATATTTGAAGAATAAATCTTATTTATAAGATCATATAAGCTGCTTTCTTAATTCACAGGTGATCTTTACTTTGAGAAAGCTGTCAATGGTTTCCTCTCCGATCTGTTTGCCAAATGGAAAGTGAGTGTCAACTCCATCACTGACCAGTAATAATGTCTTAGCTGCTTATATCACTCAATGCATTGGCATTAAAGCATTTTGTTAATATGTAACCACTCATTTTAGGAGAAGAACTGCAGTCATGAGGTTACAGTAGTGCTGTTCTCTCGGACTTTCTACTTGGCCAAATCACTGGGTAATTGTTTCATATTTAAAACACTGCCTCAGTCATATAGTTTGAATTATAATAATTGACTATGTCTGTTTCTTCATGTAGAAGAGTTCCCAGAGATGCAAAGAGCATCGGTCCGACAAGACCATGATGGGCGGTATTATGAGGATTTCTACAGGTCTGGGAGTTCATTAAGCATACCTATAAATGAAAATTCTGTCATTAATTACTCACCCTGATGTCGTTCCTAACCCTCGTTCATCTTCGCAACACAAATTAATATATTTTTAATTAAACTCTAAATCAGTTCTGTACTCTTCATTGACTGTCTATGTAACAACCACTTTGAAGCTTAAAAAAGTTCATAAAGAGATCGTAAAACAAGTGACGCATGATAAAAGGTGTCTTTTCCATGTTAATCAGAGTTTTGGTCCTAACAAGACAAGATGGTGACATGCGATGATTCTATTTTCGAAACGCTTTCTATTTTTTCGCAACGTCACTTCTGCAACAACACAGAATAATGATAATTATGAATAATGGTACTGTTTATGTGCTTTATTCATTGTTAAAAGTGTCTAATGGGGGTTTGAATATCATTTTGTGTCTCTTTTATAGCCGTACTGAAAGCAACAATGAACAGATCTTCAAAATAAATAGGAAGCAAATAAAGGATACAAGAATGTTTTAAACTCATTGAGACAGACGAGTGTATTCTAAAACAAAGATTGTTTCAGTAACTCAATATATATTCTTAATAATGTTAAAATGGTATATGTGAATAAAAGTCAAGTTAAATCTGTTCATCATATAAAGCGATTGTCTGAACCACTCAATTCACATTTACAATCGTTTTGAAGCATCAAAGTGTCAGTGGCATAGCTGTCAATGGAGTGACAGAAATCTCTCCGATTTCATAAAAAAAGATCTTCATTTGTGTTCTGAAGATAAACGGAAGTCTCATGGGTTTGTAATGACATAAGGGAAAGTAAATGATAACAGGATTCTCATATTTGGTTAACTAACCCTTTAAGACTTGCAGTTTTTACTGGTTTAAGCAGCAGTCCTTATTTATATTCTCTTGCAGGGTGGTGGCCCAAAATGAAAGACGTGATGAGTGGACGTCTCTGCTCATCACTATCAAGAAGCTTTTCATACAGTATCCTGTACTGGTGCGTCTTAAAGTAGCAGGTGCGTATGTATATCCAATCCTGATTTATAGACGAAATTTAAATGTTTTGGGTCGTTTTTTTTATCATTTTGAAAGAAGTCTCTTAAGGCCTGTGTATACTTCATTTTCACTGTTGAGTGCAAAGTATACTACTTTGGCAGTGAACGTGGAAAGATGTGTGTTATGAATCTGGCAATATTGCAATTCTGTAAACACATTTTTGTTCTTGTCACAATATTGCAGATGGATATCCATGTGGGCATAATTCCACTTCTGCTCAGGGAAATTATCTGGAAGCTATAAACTTGTCTTTCAACGGTTTGTAGTTGTGTATTTAATGCATTGTCTTAACCCACTGCAGTTCAGTAGAGCTGTTTGTCCTGATAACAGTGTCTTGATTGGTCTCTTTCAGTCTTTGATAAGCACTACATCAACCGTAACTTTGATCGTACGGGTCAGATGTCGGTGGTCATTACTCCAGGAGTGGGCGTGTTTGAGGTGGACCGCTTGCTCATGATACTCACCAAACAACGCATGATCGACAATGGTCAGTGAGTGCATTGTAATTTCGATGTTTGTGTTGTAGAACTGCCGTGGATGCTAATGGTTCTGTATCTTCCTAACAGGCATCGGTGTAGATCTGGTATGCATGGGAGAGCAGCCTCTCCACGCTGTTCCACTCTTCAAGGTTTGCAAACACCATATTAGGCATGAATGTTTTAATACTTGTGAATAGGGTGAGATTTTTTTTATCATTTATATTAGTTACATAACCGGACAGTACATGGAGACTCCAGAATTGGCGATGACTACAACCTGCCTCACTGGATCAACCATAGGTGAGATTTGAGAGTCGTTGCTTTAGGACCAACTACTGGGTGGTTGCTAGGGTGTACTGGGTGGTTACTATGTGGTTGCTTACTGGCCCAAGTTTTTTGTCCCTCCACCCATTTATTGTCTATATATATTTATATATATAAGTTAATATTCTGATAATATATTTTTCCATATTACCCTAACTGAACTTAGTATAAAAAATATGAATTTTACAGCTTTTACACATCAAAGAGCCAGAACTCGTGCAGCTGTTTTACACCACGGATCAAGCTGGCTGGAAAGAAGGTTAGAAATATCACACTTACACTGGCAACACCTTGTGACTTTGTAATGTTGTTATAATAAGAATGACTTAATGCTTGTATAACTGCTAATGAAGCTGCTGTCACTCTGATGCCTTTTCATTTTAAGGCTCAAGCTGAAAAAGCCAGAAGCAGCAAAGAGCATTGTAAGTCACTTGCGTCACTATTTAAGGTTGTATATGGGTTTGTTGTGAATTGACTGACCTGGATTTGTCTTGCTCAGCTCTTGGTTCTCCAAAAGATGCCGAGAACAGCCTTCCAATCCAGGTGGATTATGACGCGTATGATGCTCAGGTCTTTAGACTTCCTGGGCCCTCGAGAGCCCAGAGGTCCACCAACTTCAGGTACAATTAACTGATCAAAATACTGTCGTTTTTTTTTCATATTTGACCAACTTCCTCCATTTATATGGCAGTTCATACATTTAGCCTGTGATCATGTGTGTCAGGTCAAGTCGGGAGAGGGAGTCAGCCAGCAGGAAAAGCTGGGGCTCATCTGATGTCGGTGGAGGCGTAATGGGCAGCTCTCCCCCATGCAGACCTACAGGACCAGATGAACAGAGGAGCCTGGCGTCAGATGACAGTTTGGGACACATCTCCAACATCCTGCTCATCCCACGCCCGTCTCAGGGGCAATATGAGGTCAGCAGCTCCCTGGGGTACACCAGCTGCACAAGAGGTACAGAACCATTCAGTGTGCACCTATGTGTTGATGTTGGCAGAAACATCTGGTTCACTGCGTCTCGTCTCGCTTGTCTTTGCAGAATTGCTGGAAAAGATGATAGAATCCCAGAGGGACTCCAGTGCTCCAGGCCGCTTCACGGTGGGCAGCGCTGAGTCCACCCTGCATGTACGGCCGGGCGGTTACACGCCCCAGAGGGCCCTCATCAACCCGTTCGCCCCCTCACGTATGCCTATGAAACTCACCTCCAACCGCCGCCGCTGGATGCACACGTTTCCTGTCGGTAAGGGATACATATAAAACTTGCTTCTGATTGGTTAATTTGTGGTCAAATATTATGCATAATAATGACTACTAAACTGTCACTAGAGTCTATTCTCTACATGTTTTATATAAGGTCCTTCTGGAGAGGCAATCCAGATCCACCATCAGACACGACAGAACATGGCAGAGCTGCAGGGCAGTGAGCAGAGAGACCCGGCTCGTACCTCTGCAGAGTTGCTGGAACTGGCCTATCATGAAGCCACGGGAAGGTCAGTCAAGCACAGATGAGCGAGAGGAATAATGCGGCAACATGATGCAGTGAGAGTCTAATAATGGTGTAAATGTTTGTTATAGCAAGCGGACAGCGTCCCGTTACGTTGCAGAGACTGGACTGTACATCAGCGGAGTTCCTGACAATGTATCTGGAAGTCCAGCAAGTAGCAACAGCACTGGTGCAGCATTTTCACTTTCTTATCTTTTAGGGCCTTTGTATAATTTAAACACTTTATGATGATATGAATATCAGTAAGTCTCAGGAGCTAATTCTTTGTAGTGAATCAAAAATATTTAGCATGACAAGTCTAGTCTGGTTCCTGGAAAAATGACTCTTATGAGCCGGTTCTTTGTGGTGAATCAAAAAGCATGTAAAGTTGCTGGTGTAGTCTGATTCCCAAAAGCATTACTCGTATTAGTCTGTTATTTTTATCAAATCAAAAATATACTACATGGGTTGTGTAATCAAAGTCCTAAACATATGAATCTTGTTATTTTGCAGTGATTCAAAAAGCATGCTGCTGATTCTCAAATGACTGATTCTTGGACTAATTGTGTGAACCAGTCCTTTTTAGTGTTTTTTTTTTGTTTTTTTTTACATTCGTTTGACTTAAATCTGTGTAGTTAAAACAATGGGAAATAAAGTGACAAGTCAAAAGTAACTGTAACAAAGTTCAGGGAAGGAGGAGGAGAATGTTAAACATAACTTTAATCATAAAATAAACATAAAAAACAACAAAACGAAAGGTGCTGAAGCGGCTGACTGCGGTATGTAAGCGTAATAAAAACAGCAACTAGGGCTGTCAAATGATTAATCGCGATTAATCGCATCCAAAATGAAAGTTTGTGTTTACATAATATATGTGGGTGCACTGTGTATAATTATTTTGTGTATATATAAATACACACACATGCATGTATATTTAAGAAAAAAATATTATTTCTATGTAAAATTATATATACATCTATATACAGTATATACATGAAAATATTTCCTTAATATGTACAAGCATGTGTGTGTTTATATATATATATATATATATATATATATACAAGCATGTGTGTATTTATATATATAAAATAATTATACACAGTGCACCCACATATATTATATAAACACAAACTTTTATTTTGGATGTGATTAATCGTTTGACAGCCCTAACAGCAACGTTTCAGCAAGTTTCCCAGGCTCTCAGCCCCCCTGCTTCATGCCACAGTAATGTTAATAAAACTTGGATACATTAGCTCATCCATGAACATGATTTCTGCCAAAGTTTCGTTGGATTGCTTTCCATCAGCTGTGGAGTAGGTGAAGACGACAACTCCCATGATTCATTCTACACTCATTCCCGGTGCCTTCAAGCTACGCCTTTGAATAAGCTACCTCGAATGCCAAAACTTACTTGCATACTGTGCCTTTAAGAATTGCATTTGTTAATGCACCATTAAAATCTCGAATTCCTTGAGGAATCAGAATTCCTTACAACTTCCACCACTACAAAACATTTGTACATTTTTAAGTATGAGTACACAATGCTTTTTGGGGCCACTGTCATTTTTTCTCACATATTTTATTAAATGGTCTGGTACAAGTCATTAAATGACTTGCATGTTCTCTGTAAGAGCCAGAGGTTGAGTTGAGTTCAGTTCTTCTTACTGTTCTTGCTTTTGTAGGAACACCAGTGAACCGTGGTTCCCTTGAGGATTATTCCAGCAGTCTAGATCCAAGTGAGTTCTTCCCCATCAGTGAAGAGACTCAAAAACACATCTCCAGCATCCATCCACTTCCACATGAATGATAATTAACCACATATATATATATATATATATACCCTCAGAAATATATTCATTATCTGCAAATCACAGAAACGTTTTCATATCTGGGATCTATGGTTGAGTGATTTAAGGTGTTTAAGGCTGGGTTTGCAGTTACCTTTGCATTTTTTTTTTGGTTTGGAAGTTAAAATCGATTTTTTTCTGTGAGGGTATCACTATTCTTCATCTTTTTATATAGTGGTTTGAGTATCTCAAGCCAGTGCGGTAGATCACATCAGTTGAGCTGAGTGGCTGTGATGTTTATGGGTGGAAGTTTGATGAGCGAAAAAGGTGATCCTGGTCCAAAACCTCTGGGGGAATTCACTGAATAGTTGCGCCACTTTAGCATTCAATATGCCTAAATCTTATTCACACTCCATGAGCAGTACAACACCATTATTGTTTAGATTTTTATTTGATCTTAATTAAGCAACATATTCACTGAATTGTGATTGGTCTGTTCTTTCTTGAATTGACTGTATTCAACCATCTATTGGTGACTTTACACTGCAGACTTGTGGTGAGGATTTTGATTAATTTCATTGACTCCAATCTATTTATTGATTTGTTCACTGACTTTTTTCCTGCAGGTTATATCATTATGCCAGTAGGTCTGTTTGTGTTATGAGTGAGACCATCCTTCATAAACACAATGAACCAAATCATTTAGTTCATAAACGAGATGTCTAGTTAAGCTAGCATGTTAATCAGCTAGTGATAATAATAATAAAAAAAAGTATTCTGTAAGAAAAGTATGTTAACAAAACAAAATATATGTGCTGAGTGTAATGCAACAACTAAACATCAATATTGGTGGCCGCAATTCATTCTTAGTGAATTCCACGTTGGATTTGTCTGGGATTTCTGGCTTTCTCTCTATACCATCCCTCCCCTTTCCTGGGGATTCCTCTATTTCCAAAAATCCCCTTTCTGTCTAATCAAGTATCAAACTTCAATTCTCTCCCGCTCACGAGCTTTATAACCCTCAATTAAATCACCAATCACAAGTATGTAGAATGACACTGCTGCACTCAGATTCTCATGCATGCCTTGCCTGAACACTACAGTGCTGGTCATCTTTTCTGCCAATTGTGTGTTTGTACAGAAGGCCGTTCACACTTATTACACCTCACCAGTGATGTCACGATGCTCACAGTGCCTTTTATTGCATGTTAATTTTGCACGTAGTAGTCACTGTAATTTCAGTTCAATTACAACAATAATGGTAACACACTCCTTTTTCTTTTCCCACTTTCTCTCTTTCTTTATCCTCGGTCTGTGTGTTGGTATGTGTCTGTCTGCCTGAAACTTTTCACCCTCTCTTCTTCTATTTCTTTCTCTCTCAACCTATCTGCTAATTTTTATTCGGGCTGTGTGTGTGAATGTGCTTTGGATGTGGTCTGTTGCGTGTGTGCTGTTCTGTGTGTTTGTGTGTGTGGCGGGGGTGCCCCTGAAGTCCTGCTGCTGTCTGCCCCTCCGACAGTGCCTAGTTTTTGCTGCACGGTCGGGGTGGACTGGAAGTCCCTCACCACTCCTGCCTGCCTCCCTCTCACGACCGATTACTTTCCCGACCGCCAAACCCTGCAGAACGACTACACAGAGGGCTGCTACGACCTGCTGCCACACACTGACCTGGACAGGTACAAACACATTGGGTCAAAACATATTACTGTCATATTACTTTCAATGATATTTGAAGGGATGCACAATATATAGTGGCACTATATTGGTTATTAGCCAACATGCTTTGGTTAAAGTTAGATATTCACATTATTTCAACGTTCTAAATAAGCATGTTTAACTGGAATTCCTGCTGGAAAAAAACAGCATTACCCAAGACTCTACAGAGAAATCTCCATCAGTTTAGCACCTGCCCACTTATCCATTTTTTTTTACTTTAATATCATTCATTCCCTCATGAAATTCTCTCATACTTTGCTTCAAATATTGCTATTCACCTCATACCTGGTTGATTTGGCTCATGGCTTATAGGCTTGTGACAAATGGTCAAAAAGTGCTTTAGGTTTTGAGATGCCCTAGCGGAGGTAGAACTAAACCCAACGATGTTTTTCCTCATCTCTAAGATCTCCCATATATGAAATGGATTCTTGGCTCAAAATATTTTACTGTTAAAGGGGCACTATGCAGAAATCCGGTTTTTGTCAAACAGCAACCCCTAGAGTCGCTGTGGAGTACTTGAATTTAAAGTGACTGTCATAAAACCACTCACGCAGAGCGTGACATGGCGTGTTGCATAGTATACAATAGCACATTGTGTTCAATTTGTCGTTTAATGTGATCTAATGTGGTGAGAATTTTCATGTGATGAAATGCATAGATCCGACAAGTATCCCCACGAACTTTAATGGTCCAGTGGAAGAACATTTGCCAAGGGTGTCAGAGGTTCTGGGTTCTAATCCCTACTAGTTGTATAGTTTATTTTCCTCATTAAAACCGATTTTTATTAGTGGTTGTATTTCAAGCTGGGACACGTTTTTTTGTTCATTAGGTTTTTTGATTTCACCGTAACAAATGTGACTGATCTGTACTAGTTTGTACTAAAGTTTCTCTGAGTTTTCCTATTTTTTTTTTTTTTTCCTATTTCCCATTTATTTCCAATGGTCGGTCATTTTTGACCGGGAGGAAGCTAAGTTTAAAGGAGAACTCCGGGCAAAATGAACTTTTGGTCTAAATTACACATTGGTACCTTGTCGACCTTCGTGGTTCGACTTGTCGAGACTGTTTTCCAAAGATGGCGCCGTCTTTATACACGAAGTGAACTGTCTTTATAAAATATCTTCTTATTAAACAGTCTGTACACTTACAAAGTTCTCAAAGCTCAATGTAGAGACCCTCATTATGTTACTGTGTTAGTGTGGGGCTATTTTGAGCCTTGTTAGTGGTATAAACTAGCGATTTCTTTTTATTTATTAAATGCCCCATATACTAGCGTATATATGCTAAACAGTTTTTAGAAAGATAAAACTTTTTACATTTGATTATCATGAAAAAAAAAAATCTCAGAGAACGGTCGACTAGGTACCAATGTGTAATTAGACCAAAGGTTCATTTTGCGCCGCAGTTTTTTCTATCCGAATCATCTCCTTGATTTTTTTTTTGTGTGTGTTTAACAATCTTAACAGTAAAATATTTTGAGCAAATGATCCATTTCAAATATGGGAGACCTTAGAGATGAGGAAAAACATTGTTGGTAATTTTGGTAAAAGCATAATAGGGACACTTTAAAACTTTGCACTATTTCTAAGTTTCTAATAAAAATGAATTGCTTGGTAAATAGTCACATGTTCTTGCTTCTATTGAATTCAACTTTTCATTCATTAATTGTAATGAAATACTGTATTCAATTTGAAAAATGCTACATTCTCAAGTATTTTTAGACTTTTCAACACTGTAGATTTGCTATATTGAATATCTCAGTCCAAAATTGATGTGCTCTCCATCTTATGTAGACGTGACGATGAGTCTCCAGCGATGACGGCCCATCAGGTGTTTGAAGAGTTCATCTGTCAACGACTGATGCAAGGCTACCAGATCATTGTACAGCCAAACAGGAAGCCACAGCCTGCTATAGCCCCGCCCCTCAGCAGCAGCCCCCTTTATTCCAGAGGTACATCCCCTGCTAGACACTTCTCAGCCCTGCACACTAGTTGGTTTATGTAACCTTCTTTATGTCATAAATCAAACTCCAATGTAATTCAGGTAAAAGATTTGAAGGTCTGCTTTTCAGGGCTGGTGTCTCGGCGTAAACCAGAGGAGGAAGAGAATCTTTACTGGCTCAGTATGGGGAGAACCTTTCATAAAGTCTGCCTTAAAGATAAGATCATTACAGTTACCCGCTACCTCCCAAAGTCAGTAGAAGCTTTTATTCATTCAGATTCAGTTCATGAAATATGTTCTTCTAGAAATGCCTACAAGTGTGTTTTTGTTTGTTTTTAGGTATCCATATGAATCCACACAGATTCAGTACAGCTACAATCTGTGCCCTCCGCATGCTGATGCCCACTTCCTGCCATTCTGGGTTGAGTTCAGCCATGAGCGGCTGGAGGAGTACAAATGGAACTACCTGGACCAGTACATCTGCTCTGCCGGCTCAGAGGACTTCAGGCAAGTGGCTGGAAGCTTACGCTCCTATTTTGAACCAATAATCCGAACAAAAGGCAGTTTGAGGATGACGTGTACAATTCAAATATTTATCTGACTCCAATGTCATTAATCTGACTCCATTAAAGTTGTTGTTATTCTTTAACCTCTTATTCTTTAAAGGTAAAGGTCTCTCTTAGAACTGATGTAGGAAAATGTAGGATTGATCCTGAACGTTTAGATAACAAAAGTTATAACATCATCAGTGATTTTAACTTAAACCAGCTCAGCCACAGTAACAGCTCATATTAGCCAGCTAAACTTTTACTACCCTGTTAGAAAACGTATATAGTGTCACAGTTTCTTATCCCTCGCTGTTTTATGGGTTTGCTATGTGGGGTGAAATGTGCTGATTACGTGTGCGAGACAATCAACTGATTACTATTATTATATTATATATTAAGACCCTTGACCCTCACCTGACTATGGCTTTGCTATATGGAGATAAATGTGCTGGTTATGTTCGTCAGACAGCTGATTAGTACTCTTGTAATTGACCGCAAAACAGTATGTTACAGGAATCACCAACCCGTCGATCTTGGGAGCATTTTAAGTTGATCGTGAAGATTTTTCTCAATGAGCCCTTAATGCAAACTTGCAACCGAACCGCTAGATGTCTCTAAAAATCACACACTGCGCCTTTAAAGCAGGCAAAGTTACATGTTTAAATATACAAACAGTGGAATGGAACAACACACTGTGTAGAAAATTTTGTTGAAACAAATAATGCATGGTTGTGCAAATGAGGCCGTAAAAGCCTTTCTTAGAGGATGAGGTTACGCACCGGTGTGCGGGAGTGGCAGGGTTAAAGCCTTTCTCCAAGATCAACAGTTACCTTTCCTTCTTATTCCCTGAGCAAAGCATTGTTAAATATGAGTGCAATACCAACACCGAAACCGACCTGCAGAAAACCAAAAGATGAGGCAAATGGGTGGTGATCAAGAGGGACAGAAGAACATTAACATATTCTTCTCAATGCATGTGTAACCAATAGTACCTAGATTGTACATTAGGATATTTAATGTCTATTAAGTTCATCACCATTCATTTCACTGTATAAGCTGTTAGATGAGACCAAACATGACATAATTACATATTAGAACACACTAGTAAATAAATAGTAGTTCAGACGTGTCATTGAGTTGCAAATGACTCAGTCTCTCTCGACAGAACCATCCCGTGTTTGGAGTGTCCCAACAGTCCTCAATCAGCATATTGATGAAATCCCTTGCTCTAGATAGGCATTAGTATACTGTGATGATGAAGGCCATTATGCCATGTTTAATTCACATGTATACCTTTAAAAGGCTTTTTGAAGTACTAGGGCAGTAAAGAGTTCTGCCCATATTTGTTCTTTACTAGCATCACAACTCTGACACAAAACCCATGTACACAGATTCCCACAAGATCCCATTCCTCTCTCTTCCACAGCCTTATTGACTCTTTGAAATTCTGGCGCACACGCTTCTTGCTGCTGCCAGCGGGTGGAGCCAGGCGAGTGGCGGATGGTGAGGGTCACTGGGACGTATATGGGGAGGGGGCGGGGGCAGGGCGGGATGGCCTCTCTGGCAATGGGGACTGGTCCCTTTTGGATGGATTTATCCGCTTTTTGGAAGGCCTGAACAGGATTCGCCGGCGCCATCGATCTGATCGTATTATTCGTGTGAGTGCACAGCTACAGGATAAGCACAAATGATTTACCAAATGGATAAAACCACCCATCATCTATCTGGGCAATAAAATAACAATTATTATGTTTATGTTTATTATAGAAAGGCGCTACTATTAAAGGCCTACAGGTGACAGGGGCCCTTTCATCCTACAACCCGGAGCCTATCGCACCCCCTGTGGGCAAAAAGGGCACCTCTGCCCTTTCTGCACTTCTGGAGCTGGATCAGACACAGAAGTGAGTTGTGCTGGCAGATTTTGGCAAACCAAAGGAAATAAAATACACAATCAATGAGAAACAAGTGTTTGTGCAGGCCACGTTTCATCTAGTGCCACATATGGTAAATGTTTTATAAAATGCCAGAGATTCCAGGTTTTTCCTAATACTGGTGAGATGTCTTTGATCTGCAGGAGTTTAGAAGAGCAGCAGCTTGCTGCTCAGCATGGTGGGAAACCATGTGGACCTTTCAATGAAGCGGCCAGCGTTGCCCTGACAACCACCTATGTCGATAGCCCCCGTAAGGTGAGAGCCCGAGGCAGACCGCCGAACGGACTAGTTCCTAGCTTCCTGTGTGTATGCTTATGCTTTTGAGTGGGGAAGAGTCCTATTGCATTTTTACAATTAGGGATGCACCGATACCACTTTTTTGGAAAACGAGTACGAGTACGAGTACTTGCATTTCAGTACTCGCCGATACCGATACTGAGTACTTAATAAAAAAACAAAAAAAACATGATTTAAATATTTTTATATACGGGTTTTTAGGTCCTTGATTAAATTACTTGGGTAACACTTTATTTCGATTGTCCACTTTACTAACTATAAGTAACTTTTCAATTACATGTCAACTAACTGTCATTAGAGTATTAGTAGACTAGAGTATTAGTACGATCAGCTTAATATCTGATAACACTTTATTTATTTGGTCCCCCAACAGACATTCAACTGACTATAAGTAACTTGGCGACTACAAGTAAACTTATTCTCCTAATCCAAAGCCATTCACTTTGAAATTGTTCCACACCAGTGATGCACGGGTTGATCCAAAATGAGCAAGTGCCTGCGCCGCGGTCACCCGCGGTTACCCGCAGTTACGGGTCATCCAAAAATATTTTTAATGATATTCGGGTCGCGGTCGGTCAGGTCGTTTGGAAAAAAATGCCAATTAAACCTTTGTATTTATATAGTACTAGATAGAATTTTCTATGAAATATATAGGCCGAATTTATTTATTGGCTGAATAACTGGCACGAAGATGACACACAAGCTCAGTCTAAACAGTTCTCAGTTCTGTACTGGTGTGATCCGAGAACTGCTGTACCTCTGCGTTCGTTACTATACGCGGATGCGCAGTATCAGCAGTATCAACAACATGTCTCAGTTCAGTGAACTGTTAGAGTTACTGGAGTAAAATATAATTCGGGATATTGGTTTATTTCAACTCGGAGGGACTGTCAGGCATGTCTGAAAGTGAGTAACTGTAGTAACTTGTGGATCAGCACTGACGCAAGACGTGAACTGATGCGAATGATTCAGTTCGATTTAGCGTACTGGTTCGACCGGTTCATTAAAAAGAACCGATTCGTTCACGAACCGGCCATGTCTATGATCACTAGTCTGCAGAGAGATGGAGGCGGCAAGAGAAAAGGTGAAGACTGGGGAGTGGAAGCTCCGAAAATACACAAATAGAAAGAGTAAGTGTTGGAAACATTTACCGAAATAATGAAAGATGATGACCAAAGTGCTGCCTTTGTTATATGTAGGCTACGTCTTCTTGCGATACTGTGTTGTTACACGTTTATGGCCCAATGACGCTACGATGAGCATGTGCTACTTTTAAAAAATACGGTCAGGAAGAGAGTCGGGTACAATATTTTCTTACTTTTTTTGCGGTCCGAGTAGCGGGCGGGTAGTTGAAAACGTTGGTAGTGTGCGGGTTGTTTATACATTGACCCGCGCATCACTGTTCCACACGGCTGACATGTCTCCCCATCTCCCCGCTCTGAGCTGCAGCCGGAGCCTGGGGGTGGGCACTCGGCGCCTGTGATTAACCCATTTCTCAGAACATGGTATCGGTCCCCGGTATCGGGGGACTTTTAACGAGTACGAGTACTTTAGAAAATGTGGTATCGAGGCCGATACCAGATACCGGTATCGGTATCGGTGCATCCCTATTTACAATATGTATAGCTTGCTGGGTCTTTCCTCTTTCCTTGTTTTTTTGTGGTCTTTTTCGCCTTTGTCTGCTTGGTTTGAGACTGATCACAGTATTTGGAACAGAATAAAAAGTTGTGTATAATACAACTATTATAAAATGCCACAATAATAATGTCTTTTAATTGTTGGTTGTCTATTGTGTGATCAATTCAATACAACATTGTTAATCAATTGACAGCCCTACTTTTCATTTGGTTCTTTATGTCTTCCTGTATTCGATTGTGAATATATTTGCAGTGGGTTTATGTTTTCTTTCTTTTTCATTGCCTCTTTTGACCTTTGCCTCTTCCTCTTTTATTCCTGCCTTGTTCTTATTCTGATCTCTGGGGGTCATTTTCTCTCTTTCTGGTGTTTTCCTCCTAATATGCTGACAGGATGCTGCCTTCATTTTGGACTTTATTCGTAGTCCACGTTCCTCCTACATCTATCACTCTCAGGTCAGTCACTGCCCCCTCTCTGCTCTGTGAAAGCCGTCTGCCTCTTGCAACTCACGTGTGTGCGTATAAACCATGTGTGCATGTCTGTGTACTTGTCAAACCTCTCACTGGCATTAAAAATGTTAAGGTTGGTGTTTCTATCTACTGTTTTTAAAGTGGGAGTGATAATTGAGAGTCAGCCCTGCTTGTTTATGTCATTATAACGAAAATATATTAGATTCTTTAGATTTACTTTTTTTATAATCTCTTTGAGTTCTGCTGTAGACTGCACCATTCCAGGTTGGCCTGTGGAAAAATGCATGTGCACTTTGCATTTAATCTCTCTTCACATCCTGTTCTTTAGAAAAACTGCTAATCTCACATAGCCAGATTTTGTCTAGCAGCATACAGTAGCCGTTCCACATTGCAGCTAATTCTGGCCTGTAGCAGATGGGAAGAGGCCATCTGACCAGCATGTAAAGCATTTATCACAGCTTGCTTTTTTAAAAAACATAAATCTAAATGTTACAGTAATAGTCAAGCATGCAATAAAGTGGCAAATTATTCAAATTATATATGAAATGGTTAGAAAATGTGTGTAGACACTTACCAGATATTTCATATGTAATTCTGAAAACAAAGCAGAATATACAGAAGAGATTGATGATTTTTTAAAATGGCATAAACCATGTATAAATTTCACAAATTCAGTCACTAGTTTATTTTGAGTGCTCATTGTAGCACGGTAGCACCCTGGTACCTTGTCAATATAGCTGGCAGACTGACAAAAATTGCCTTTTGGAAATTGTAAAGCAATCAGCCAGTCAGATTGGAGCTGGTGGTTTTGAACCAGCTCTTGGCATTATACTGTGCAATATGCTTCATAGAGTCTATCATGGGATGTGCTGTCTGATACTAGAGTACCACAAAGATGCATTCCTGCTAGTCACAGGATACTGATGGCGTGAAGATCTCCCATAATTTTGCACCTTTGTCAGTCTTGTGTAGTTCTGTTTTAGACTTTTTTGCATGAAGATAGATAATGTCAGATGTGCTAGTTCCTGTGCATGAAACACTGGGGTGATGAAGGCACACTGCATTTCAACATTTTATCTGACACATTCCCAATGGGTTCCTCAGCTGCCGGCTGAACAGGTTCCAGCAAATTCCATTGAGGGTGGACTATCAGACAAAGGAGGAAACCAACCAAGTGAGAGAACATCTGGTATGTCCCAAGCCATAGGAGACCCAACCCCAGGCACAGGTTCAGAAACCGGGTAAGAGAACACTTCACTTTATTCCGACAGTCAGAATATGGCTTCCCATATATTCAACTCAGAATGTTCTTCTTTCATGTTGCTTTGCAGGGGACAGTCAGGGACCAGTTGTTTGAGTCTTTCCTCATCTTCCACACTGATGGAGATCCTGGAAGCCATTAAGCATCCCACGTGAGAGTCTTTAAATCCTTAATTATTTATCAGTCTTCTATTATGTCACCCATGTGTGATCTAAATTGATTTTCTGTGCTTGCAGCACTGGAGTGCAGCTTTTGCCAGAGCAGAGGGGCCTGCCTCCCAACTGCTTTGTCAGTGCTGAGGTTGTACATTGGCTGGTGAGCACTGTGGAGAATGTCGCCACTCAGGGCATTGCAGTAGAAATCATGCAGGTAACATTGCAGAAGTCACAGAAGTCTGTGTTTGTATTTAAAAACTTGTATTTAAAAGACTATCTCTGACGCTCCTATAGAAAATGTTGGATGAAGGTCTAATTACTCATGCGTCCGGTGATGCCATGAGAACCTTTGTCTATGGCTTCTACTTTTACCGGATTATCGACAAAGACAGCGAGAAGGGTAAGAAATGACTTCACTGTGAAGATTACTTCACTAGGGGTTGCCAAGCTGCTGTAGAGTTGGTTGCTGCAAGTTTCCAACTGTATCAAGGGACATTCACAGAATTTCACACGGACAGTGATTTACAACGACAAAGCAACTAGACGTCTATTTTCACTGAAAAGTGGTGATTTTGGGGTCCATAGTGATCTGCCATCTGATACAGTCAACAGCATAGTTACACTGCAACCTCCAGCCATTTTTAATCAATGTCAGTGTTGAACAGGGATTGATTCAGGGGGCAGATATCACTGTCTGCAATGCCGTTCGAAGCATGACTGTACCTTGGTGCTTCTACGCTCAATAAAACAGACCTCTATTCCCTGCAGCCCCTACAACTCCGTTGCCCCCAGCTGGAGCCAACGTATGGTCTGCCGCAGCTTTGGAGGACTTCGCCCTGTTCCAGAGGAAGTGGTTTGAGGTGGCCTTTGTCATGGAGGAACGTCGGCCCTGTGACTTACCGGCCTTCCTGCTACCCTGGTTGCCCAGCCGGCCGGCCTCGTACGCAAGTAGGCATAGTTCCTTCAGCCGCAGCTTCGGAGGACGCAGCCAAGCTGCTGCACTGCTAGGTACACACAGCCGGCTCTGACCCCAGAGCAGCCATGCTCTAGACCTTAAGACAGCATGCCACACTCGCTCCCCCGAAAGTTCGGGAGAGCTAGTGATGTGAATGAGTCCCACAAAGTCGAATCATTTCTTCTTATATTACTAAAGCATTCAGACACCACCCATTGCATCTACTAGATACTAAACAACAATGCACACTTGGAAACCCTCACAACTCAACTAACTTATAAAGATGAATATTGCAACAACATTATATTCTTCTCAGGAAACACCAAGCTTTTGATTCAGCCCCTTCCATCAGGATTTTTTAATGTATTCAAATCTAATAATCAGACTTTGTGTGACTCTTCTCCATTCTAGGACTGCATGCTGTTGTAGAAAAGTAGTCCCTTAGTTCATACTATTTATTCCCACAATGCCCAAATCATGACTCCCTTTTCTAACTGATTGATGTAGGCGGTGTTTGCAAATCTGCTATTATTACAAACACAATTAACCATCAATCAATGTGACGGTACATGCACTCTCTAAATGCTGTGGTTCTACCCAAGCTCCTAAAATCAGAGCATGGACTGATTGCCCCAGTACACCAATCAATCCAATGTTTTGGGTGTGTCATATTGATGTCTTGTACACCAGTAGTGCATGCATGCTGCGGTGAAGTAGTGGCTGTGGTCCAGTAGTGCCGTGGTATGGGTCCTTCCTGCTCTCCTCCATCTGTCCTGTTCCCCCTGGATGAATTATGTCACTCCATTGTTCCCAAACCTAAGCAAAGCTATTCTCCCAACCCGTCGCCGATGCACTCCGCTTTCAGTGTTTTCTTGCCATGGAAGCTTTATACATCTTATTAATCTTTTATACTTTGCATTATGTAAACTCATCCTTGGTCTGAATCATTATTTCAATTCATTCACAATGTTTATTGTCTCAGATGTCATGAACTAAGCACTAACTCTATCACATGTATTATCTTAATGACTGTCTGTGACTGACCTCATTGTCATTTCATCCTCTCGGCCATTTCTGCACTTCCTGTCTTTCTCGCTCCGTTTTTGCCCCTCCCCTCTCAGCTGCCACAGTTCCAGATCAGAAAACAGTCACCTTGGATGTGGACGTAAATAATCGCAGTGATCGGACGGAATGGTGCAGTTGCTACTACCATGGCAACTTCTCCCTCAATGCTGCCTTTGAAATCAAGCTGCACTGGATGGCTGTCACTGCAGCTGTACTCTTTGAAATGGTGAGCATAGGATTGACATAATTGGCAGTGATGGTGCTGGATGACATTTGTATAATATCATCACAATAACTATATACATAACATAACATGTAAGGTTGAGACATAGTCCCAAAGCACTGCACTCTTCTTTTTCAGGTGCAAGGCTGGCACAGAAAGGCGGCATCTTGCGGATTCCTGCTTGTACCTGTGTTGGAGGTGCCCTTCGCTTTGTCATCGTACCTATATGGCGACCCTCTCCGTGCTCAGTTGTTTATCCCCCTAAACATACAGTGCCTACTAAAGGAGGGCTGTGATAACCTGTTTGAGGGTGAGGACAGAAAAATTAACAGATGTTTTTTGTGATGTTTCTTAAAGTCTCTCAAATCTAGCAAATAGGTGTGTTCAAATTTGTTTATTTATGCACTATTCTATGCCATTTTATAGTATAAATAGTGCGAGTAGTGTGTTCGCATTGAAATTTGCTAAAAGAAAAAGCACACTTCAAATACCCGGATGATGCACTTAAAGGAGTAGTTCACTTTTTAAAAAACTTTTGCTGATAATTTACTCACCCCCATGTCATCCAAGATATCCATGTCATTCTTTCTTCGGTCGAAAAGAAATTAAGGTTTTTGATGAAAACATTCCTGGATTTTTCTCTATGTAATGCACTTTATTGGGAACCAAACGGGGCGGCAGTGGCTCAGTGTTTTATGTAGGTTGTCTACAAACCGGAAGGTTGGTGGTTCAATCCCCAGTTCCACCTGACCATGAGCAAGACACCTAACCCCAGCTACTCCCGACGAGCTGGATGGCGACCGCCGTCGGTGTGTGAATGAATGGGTGAATGTGAGGCAAAATTGTAAAGTGCTTTGGTGGCCATTGGGTATATGAAAGGGCTATATAAATGCAGTCCATTTACCAAACGGTCCAAGGTCCAGAATACAGTTAATGACCGTTTCAGTGCAGCTTCAAATGGCTTTAAACGACACCAGGCGATGAATAAGGGTCTTATCTTGCGAAACGATCGGTTATTTCAAAACTAAATAAAATAATGTAAGTTTTGTAAGGACAAAAGCTCATCTTGCTCCATTCTATGAGGCGCATATGTAACGTCACGTAATATGCAATTACGTTCAAAAGGTCACGGTTGACATAACCGGAAGCACAAATGTATGTTTATAATCAACCATTCTACTGTATCATTTACCATCTTGAATGGATTAATATGTCATTTATTGTTAAGTGGATGTATGATATCCTCCATTACGACACTGCTTTATTTGTGCAGGGTTTGAGCCAGAGACATACTGGGACAGAATGCAGTTGTTTCAGGAGGCCGTACTCTCCAGGTAAAGAGAGCATATGCTGTAATGTATTTTTCACTATCACTATTGCTCAGTCTTTTTAGATTGATATCCTATGTGCTCTCATACTGAAACAACTTCCCTCTTTTTCTTTTGGAAGATTTGGCTTTGTGCAAGACAAGTTCTCAACATCAGCTTTTAACTTTCCATCAGAGAACAAACCCCAGTACATCCATGTAACAGGTACATGCTTTTATGAATAATATAAACTTGGGTTGGAAATACTATGATACTTTATTCTGTAAATCTCTTTGTCTTACTCCCTCTATCGCCATCTCTCGGGAACGTTTGATCCAGGTACAGTTTTTCTTCAGCTGCCTTACTCGAAAAGAAAATACTCCAGTGGCCAGCGGCGGCGCCGTAACTCCACCACCTCCGCCAGTCAAAGCCTGTTTGGTTCTGAGGACCGAGTGGGCTACAATTGGGCTTACAATACCATGCTGACCAAAGCCTGGAGAACTGGTGTTCTGGGGGACGAGAAACTGGCTGACCGCCTGCTACGGGATTTCACAGATTTTTGTGCCAACAAGGATAATCGACTGGTGACCTTCTGGGAAAGTTGTGTGGAGAAAATGAATGCCAGTGCCCCTTAAGAAAAGAGAAAGTAGGAAAGGCAATGGATACTTTCAGAGAAAATCGAGACAGTTCGCCTTTGAATAGATGATTGGACTGATAGCAGCAGAACATTAGCTTTTGAAGCAGAGGAAAATAAAGGAATAGCCTCATCATAAAACACTCAAATGTATGAGTCATATGTTTTCAGAGTGTTTGCACATGAGCCTGCAATGCTTTGGGACGTTTTTAATGGGTTTGAGTTAACAGCAGGTCTTCAGTAAGTTGTACATAACAGGATCATTTTGTTGAAGATAAACCCCATCTTAAAGGGTAACTAAATATAGCGGCAAAATATCAATATGAATATATGAAGAGTTCAGATGCAAAAGCCTCTAAATGCCATTTGAAATTTTCTTCTTTAATGATGATTTTTATCAAACTTGTATATTTAAGTTCAGTAATTTATTTATTGTTATTTAAGTGAAATTACTGAACTTAAATATACAAGTTTGATAAAAATCATCATTAAAGAAGAAAATTTCAAATGGCATTTAGAGGCTTTTGCATCTGAACTCTTCATATGCCTACAGAGAGTCCGTGCTATTGACATCAACTCGACAAAACTCATCAAATGCTGATCGCGATGCGAGAGTTAAGACCGCAGTTTGAGCCAACGGCTCGAATTGATATGGCCCTGTGTCCACAGACAATTCACCCTCCTCCACTTCAGGTGAAGGTGGGGGGGAAAAGTCCTCGACTTCAAATGACCGCCCTGTTGCAAAGCTACTTGCATCACTCCAGTCACTCTCCATTTTAGAGTCTAGAAACAGTTCTATTTAATTCACACAAATTTGATTTTTTGTTGTCACTTTCAAATGTGTCTTTTCTTGTCGGACGACTGAGCAGAGTTTGCATTGATTCTGCTCAAGCACCAGTAACCAAGGTGGACAGAGTTTATCAAACGATCTTTTAAAGGTAGGATAGGTACATTTTTCATAATCACTATTTCATAATCAATAATAGAAGTGGTCTAAATGTTAAAAAAAATGTATGTCAGCACCAAATAATGTTTTTCCAATGCAATGATACTTTGTCCTACCTGCCTGTCACCATATGTATTTCCATACCTTCACGCAGATATCATACATCATCAGCACGTTCCGTAAGGCTATGCAGGCCGAGCGCTAAAAACAAACAGCATTCGCCTATTACAGTTCCTCCTGAATCAAAACAACGATAATGCTGTGTTCAAGTCATGTTGTTGTCATAATTATGAGATGGCAACCCATGACGTTCCACCCGAAGCTGTTCACATCCTCGGATTTATGCGTTTCTATGTCAACACTATCAACCCCGAAATTAATTTGCAGCAGTCAGGTGGTAAGTTGTTTACGTTCATTACGATTGTAAAGTTATGTGCTGTGAGATATGAGGTAGTTTAACATCGTGTCTTTTGATGCTTTGCTGAATCTGCGTTCATTTTTTCTGAAGGAGGCGTGTCATTGGAGGGTGGGATAATGCTTTAGACGCTAGCTTGCTATTGCTAGCCACTCCGAAATTGCCTACCCTATCTTTAATATGGGTCTTACATTTTTTTTTAGTGCTTGGCCCCATTGATGTACATTTTCATAACCCATGTTTAGACTGGTGTACATTGTTTTAAAATATCCTGAGAATTAAGAGCTAAGTAAAGGTCTTGATTAGGAGGAGTTAAGAGATATGTTCATTGTTATAACTGTCAAGCACATCTGTAAACACCGATGCATTTTGGTTATCAAAGTCAAATCTGTTGGTAGGGACATAAGTTGAATTATTGAACGAAATTAAAGATATATTAGATCCAACTTCGTTTGGTTACACATTATCCCCAAGGTCAAATATTGATCCAATTAAGCCCCACTGTTAAAATGCAGTAACTGCATGTTTTCAGCTGTAACACTGCAGGGACTTAAGCCAGTGCAGGATAAAAAAAACCTGACCTTTAATCACATTGAAAATACGTATCTGCCTGTCCACATCAGTCCATTCATGTTGTCTGGACAAATACAGCTAAGGGATGCATCCCTATTATCCTATCATCATCAGTTTTGGACAGACAGAAGCAGCATATTGCTTCATTTGAATGCGGAAGAGTTTCTTACCACGCGCACGCGCACGCGCGTTGTGTGGCGCTGCATTGGACAATGCAGCAAACCTCACTGCGCCTGTGCGCAGCTGCAGGGCATGCGGCTATTTTTAGAAAATGACGTCATCCTGAAATAGAGCGAGTGCGCGCATCCCCCCTCCAGCTCCCCCTCCACCCTGTTCGCTGGGATTGACAGGACGCTTGCAGCAGCAGCAGCACCCCACAAGACGAAAGAAAAAATAGTAATATTCGGGCGAAACTTGGAGGATTTCGAGGGCTGGGAGGGGAAAAAAAGCGTTACAAAAATATATAAACATTAAAATATAAAGATAAATCTGCACCTTCAACCTTTGGCTCGCCGTTCCACCCTCACGTGCGCGGCTGCTCCAGATTTTGCTCGCGCCTGTGTGCTGACCGGAGCGCGCGCTCTCTCTCGCACAACCAGTGTGTTTTGCCGAGCAACGACCGAACCCGGTGCCGACCGACAGCCTTTGACCAGAGAGGATGGCAGATAGGGAACAACTGATCCAAAGAGCCCGTCTGGCGGAGCAGGCGGAGCGCTATGATGACATGGCCTCCGCGATGAAGCTGGTGGGTCATTATTAATATACGCATTTATGCACAATCAGTCCTTAAGAGACGATTGCAATATAAGTTAGATGCATTGAGTTTTTATTTTTTTCTAATGCTCATATATTATATGGGTGCATTTCTAGTTTGTACAATTAAAGAATCTTTCGCTATTGTCACGAGCTCTTTGTTATATATAAAATATGCTGCGTTAAAGGGATGGTAGTTCACCTCCAATTGAAAATACGGTCATAATTCACCTTCATATCGCTGCACATTCATTGCCTTGTTTCTTCCCTGAAACACAAAAGGGAGAGATGTTAGGCGGAATGACAGCCTAAATCACCATTCACTTTCATTGAATGGAAAAAAAAGATGCAGTGAAAGTGAACGGTGACCGAGACTGTCCGTCAGTAACTAACTTAGCACTAGCATTCTGCCTAACCTCGTGTTTTGTTTTGTTTTTTGTTGTAAAGAAAAAAATAATGCGGGTGTGAAACGACACGAGGGTGAGAAAATAATGAAATGGTTTTCATTTTTGTATAAATTTAAACCTTTGAATGTTGGGTAAAAACCACGTGCATTTAAAAATTAAGATATAAGTAATCAACAGACCAAAAGGGAGAGATGACGCTACATAATGCTAATAAATTGTAGGTTTCGGTTCGGTATCGGTTAAATTTGTCGTTACAGTGAATGAACATAGGCGGCGATATGACACCTTCAGCCACATCCATTGTGTATCTGTGTCTCTGCGAAAATGGGATAAAAACAACAATAGCTACGTTTTAAATAATGAAAGCTAGCTGTTATATAGTCAGATAACACTTTAAAACATTGTTCAACAGCTTTTTCAAACATTGTTAAATAGAGCTCAATATGTGAGCTAGCAGTGCAGCATCAGCTGTCTGGTTTGACATCTGAGCACAAAGGATGAAAGTCAGTCAGTCAGTCAGTTTGTGTGGGTCAAACAGGACACGGATGCTTTTTTCTGTGTATTGTTTTTTTTTTTTTTTATTCTTACTAATTTAAGCAACATTACCCCACTCACCTGTTTTGATTAGATATTGTCATTTTTATGCCACTTTGACTGTTTGACATTGGCGTATTCAGTGTAGATTCCCATGGCCATCAAAAATATTTCTTTCAAAAATAATTGTTAATAACTGATGTTATTTTGAAATAATGTATTCATAAATGTTTGGGTTTCTTAATCACATTACACTAGGAATGTTAATATATCAGTGGCTACATGGGTTTTAGCGAATATTAACCTTTTTTGTTAATATGATTATTAATTATTACCAAAACAGTCTAAATCTCAATTTTGGTTGTAAATAACTTAAGGATTTCTTCCAGTTCAAACAAACCTTTTCTATTCTATAAAAATATTTGTAAACAGAAATTGCGCTTTATCCAGGGTCTCTAGATTTTGATCAGAACACCTTTTTAATGTCCCAATTTCAAACAAATATACGTTTCGAACACAATTGCGTTTATTGACCCAACATCTGGCCTTCTGCACCATCAGGTCACGGAGTTGAACGAGCCGTTGTCCAATGAAGACCGCAACCTGCTCTCGGTGGCCTACAAGAACGTGGTGGGGGCCCGGCGGTCATCTTGGCGCGTAATATCCAGCATAGAGCAGAAGACGGCTGCGGATGGCAATGAGAAGAAGCTGGAACTGGTGCGTGTCTACCGAGAGACCGTCGAGAAGGAGCTGGAGTCAGTGTGCCAAGACGTTCTCACCCTGCTGGACCAGTACCTCATCAAGAACTGTGACGAAACCCAGCTAGAGAGCAAGGTCTTCTACCTGAAGATGAAGGGCGACTACTACCGGTACCTGGCAGAGGTGGCCACCGGCGAAAAGAGGGCCTCTGCCGTCGAATCGTCCGAAGGCGCCTACAAAGAGGCTTTTGATATTAGCAAGGGCATGCCGGCCACCCATCCCATCCGCCTGGGCCTGGCACTCAACTTTTCCGTCTTCTACTACGAGATCCAAAACGCACCCGAGCAGGCCTGCCAGCTTGCCAAGGAAGCCTTCGATGATGCCATCGGCCACCTGGACAATCTGAACGAGGACTCCTATAAGGACTCCACGCTCATCATGCAGCTCCTGCGGGACAACCTCACCCTGTGGACCAGCGACCAGCAGGACAGCGAAGGAGGGGAAGCCAATAACTGAGAGAGATCAGCCATGTCCGCTCTCACCTCTAGCTGTAGTAGCACCCGTCTGTCCCTTCTGCAGTCTGTTTTTGATTCTATCTTATTTCTCTCTGTCTGCTCCTTCATTCTCTCTCTTTCTTCTCCATTGCATCTTCCTCATCTCTTTGTGACACCTCAATGCTCTTCTTTGGTTCCTCAGGGCAGCACTTCAGACCCTTCATCGCTCCTTCACCTGTTTTACCCCTTTTCCGCCAACAGGATGCTGGTACCCAATCTGGAACCGTTCCACTGCAGAAAAGGTGGTTCTGGGATGGAAAAATGTTGTTGGTCTCTAAAACCTGCTTGAACCTGAAACCGATTCCGTCACATGTCCGCAGCAAGATTTTAAAAACAAATACAAGACACAAAACAAAACTAGCCCCTGAATTCAAATTACTTTGGATGTTCAGATGTAGTCCTAAAAGATTGATAAAAAAATTTGAATGATTTTAAAATATATCTGCAAATTGAATCCTAATCATTTTGTTTGTTATTTATTGCTTGCTTATGAAATAGAGATGCTAAAATTGGATGCTCAAACGTATTCTCAAAACACAGCATATAAAAATGTGTATCTAAACAGTGTATCTAACATTTTCTTTCGCTATATATTTGTCATTATGTCCTTAAAACACTGAATCAAATTACTTTGGATGCATATATTCTCAAAACGCGCATAAATCGAAAAGACTGTCAAGCGGCACGGGTCAGTTATGTCACTGTTCTGATCACAAGCTGGTTCTGAGACCATTTTGGTGAAAAGTGGGTATTTATTTACCCTCATTTGCTCTGTTTTCCCACCTACTTTTCTCCTGTCCTATACTTTTCTGTATATGATTCTCCTCTTTCCTCCCACAACGGGTCACTGATAGTCTACTGGGGCTGTATTACAGAACCTTTCTATCTTAATTCTTGGTTAAAGATTTGAAAAATATCTATTTCCCAAGTGAAATTAACATGGTTGGTAAACAGAATAGATAAGATATGATTCTGGAAGGTAGGATCCTACTGTAATATTGTCCTTGGCCTCCACGTGACATTTATTTAGCGTATACTTGTAAGGACTTGATCTTCGTAGAGACTCTGTAACACTTATTACAGGATGGCATCTCGAGTATGTGGCACAGTATAGTGCTAATGTTACAGCTTACTACGTTCTTCTTCTTCTTCTTCTTCTTCACTTGTCTTTGATCTGTACCTCCATCACTGCTTAGATGTGTTTGTCTGTCGTTTCCCCAATCTCACCCTGTACACCTTGCTAGCCCTGTGAATTGTGTATACCTGCTGATCTCGAAACAGTATGTGGTCATCCAAAATGTGGGCGACACTCTGTTGTGAGATGCAGTGATCAAGAGTCTTTTGATTAGGATTACATATGCAAGGTTATGACAGAATGACATTAAAGACATTGCTTACCATGGGAACTCTCAAAATGCTGTTTATCTCTGGCACTTTATTATGGATACACACATTTATTATCAACTTTACACTGTTTTGAACTCTTTCACACACACACATGGCTTAACAATATTGGTTTTCTTGCTTACAGGCAACAATAACACAATCGCATGACTATTCGTAACTATTTCACATTTCAAATTCATACTCGATCTCATTAATATATTTTTTTATGACCTGCTGACACTGAGAGTTTGGTTAGCAGGGCAATGCGCATAATATTTTATTACAAACCGTACATTTTCCTATGAATCACTTTGTAGGAATTTGTATGAAATTGCAGCTTTGTAAAATAAATGTTCTTGTGAAATAGAGTTGGCAAATGAAGCTCAATTAAAATTCATTTTAATATGAAGTCTGTTCAGGACAACTGTCCTGATGTCATAATAAATAAATCAGCCTCATTAAAATAAACAAAATTCTTGATAAGAAATGTTTGACAATCTTAACTAAATACATTTTTATCAAAACTTATCATTAATATCTGAAAAGCAGGGAAAAAAAAGAAACAGGAAATTACATCAGACTGCCATGGAGCCTCATGAGTGTGTCAAACAGGTAATAAGTCTTTTTACCTTTTTATGACTATCCAAGCCAAAGTTAGTTCAGGGTGTAAAATGTCATGTGGTGCGACTCCCCCAAAATGTGAAATGATACAAATGATATTGATCAATTAATAATAATTCATGATATATATATATATATATATATATATATATATATATATATATATGGTATTTCAAATGGATTGTTAAGAAGTACACACACACACATATATATATATATAGTCGTGCTCAAAAGTTTACATACACCTTGCAGGATCTGCAAAATGTAAATTATTTCATGAAAATAAGAGGGATCATACAAAATGCTAATTGTTATTGTTTATTTAGTACTGTCTTGAATAAGATATTTAACATAAAATATGTTTTCATATAATCCACGAGACAAAAATTGTTTTTGAACAGGATGAAGAATTTCATATTTTTCAAATTGTGTATATATATTGTAATATACTGTATATATATATATATATATATATATATATATATATATATATATATTGTTGATGGAAGACATCTTAAAAAAGGTACATTGAGGGACCCAAACAACTATTAAAAAAGGTTCAAACATTCACTGACGATTGAACTGATTTTGAATTTGAAGATTAAGGTTACTTAATTTGTCTTTCGGGAAACATTCGTATCTTCTGTTGCATCCGAAGGGCAGTACTAAAAAAAAAATAAAAATAAATAGTACTGTCTCTTCAGTAGTAAATTGCTCATTGGCTGCTCAACAAATGGTATGATGTAACCAACAAGGCATGTATTCATACTATCTGAACCTGAAAATGTACAAGGCATCATTGGTTAATGATTGATCCTTTAGCCACACATTCAGTGTTGTAGCAGGTTTCCTAAGAAAAATGTGGTTATCTAATGAACTAAAAAGATAGTGGCCAAAAATAATGCAGTTTCCTTGTTGATACACCCAAGAATGACGTTTCAACAGTGTCAATGCCTGCTCCGTTATATACATCTAAATCTAATCTTATACAGTATAAATAAATGCCAAGGGTTTATGAAAGTTAAACTTTGTTTTAGTTTTAAGGCTCGAGATTTGGCTGATTAGCATGAGCCTGTTAGCTACTGCTAGCAGATGTTAATTAATGCTGCTCAGTATAATATTTAACTGTATAATTACACTGTAACAAAGTCACCTTAAAATTCAGTTTAAGAATTAAGTCATGTACGGCTCATGCTAGCGCTGTCGGGAAAGATCCTATTCCCCTTCCTCAATCAAAAATGTAGAATGACATCTTGTTTTAGCTAACCAAAAAACAATCAGTTTTGATATGCAAAACTTAAATTACTTGAGCCAACTCAATACACATAATTTTAAAGATGTTTTTTTTGTTAAATACAAATCATATATTTCAGCATAAACATACATCCCTATAGGAAGGTAATAAACAAACTAGCTAACATAATGTTTTTTTATGGCTGAAATGTTGCGTGTAAATGTAACAAGCAAAGTATTTATCATAATGTACTTTAAATAGCATTGAAAATAATGTCTAAAATATATAACTTCTGCTGTTGTTCATAAATACCAGTGGTGATGTTGTACAATGAGGATGTTGTCAAAGTGCCGGAAATAGAGTCATCAGTCTCCCAATTTATAAGGAGCCACTCCAGCGTCCTTGCTGTCCTTAACAGTGCCCGAATTCATGTACACATCCAATGAACGCTTTACTGTCCCATGAGGCCACAGGCCAAGTGTGTCCAACTGGATCTCACCACATTTCTTTTAATTACGCCCCATACTTCAAGTTACGCCCCCTACAATGCAATAGAGTGGTGCAGGTATGACGTCAATTTGTAGGCCAACCGGTGGGTAGCATCACACTACTAAGATCATTTTCACAGATGAACAAAACTTTTACGAATTTTGAAGCCTAGCCGCCAGAAGTAAAAATCTAAAGGTTGGCTATGAACTAACTACACCACGGTCAATGTCACCATGACTAAGCTTCCGAAGACTCTTTCAGTTTTTATCTAAAAACATTTGCCAAGAGCATTAAAGTTAGTATGAGAGCACAATTATAAGCGATTATAAGCGAATTTGTTCGACTGATGACGCTTAGTGTCCCCAACTGCCTCTGTAGTCCCAATTAGCCACAATTAGCCAACAGCCTTTTTCAAGACACATAACAGCTGAAAATATTCACTGATGTATTAATATGTTGTAGAATAAAACCTAAAAATGTATTTAGCTTGTGTTCAACACAGACCTTATTTCGGACGTTTAACAAAAACCCCATTAAAAAAACACTGACTTCGGGACGATGGACCTGGAAGTGCAAAAATGCAACTCGCTTCCGTGTTTTGGCCTACGAAGTGATGTCATATCTGCACTATGTTATCAGAGCCCCTCTCTCTGAAATCTCTAATGTTGCCACTAGTACTGCAATTCTTTTACTTAACTTTGTGTGACTCATATCCATTTAATGATCCATATAGTGTTGGAGCCCTGTATGCAAAATTTAGTTTGATGTTTCATCAGCCATTTTTACTTTCTTTTGTCTTCAAGATGTAATGCTACTACCCTTTAGGGTGTCCTTATAATCAGTGTTGCAGTGTATAATGTCTGGACCATTGCAGTTGTTGATATTTAGCTGACTCAATGAAACCCATTAATTAAGATGCAGGTGATGTGGTTGATGAAACGTGCTTTTACACTTTACAGGAACCAAGTCTCACACTTCCCACTATATAAGTTGATCATTAATGATTCTCAATCTCTGATTTTGACAGATTTAAGTCACAAACACACTTTTATAATTAACTCTGAAGAGGTCACACCCATCTGTAGACACAAACGTATAAGTGAAAGCGTGCGCACACACAGTCACACGCCTGCAGGTGAACGTTTCGTTTAAGTCAGGTCTCTTTACCATCGTGTCAGAGAGGGACGCAGTGTGTGGTGCTCCACTTGCCCTGCTCAAACACCATCAAAATGGGGGAAGATTATTTTGGATTCTCTTATCTCCGCAATGAGAACAGAAAAAATGTCACAATTTATATTAATAATGCAGCGGACATCTCGGTGATTGTTGTATATTTTCTGGTGGTTCTGGCTGTAGGAGTATGGGTAAGTGGCCAGCAGTTTACATCCAACAACATTTTTCTTCCATTGATTTCTAAATTGTTGACCTTGCGTTAACAAGATATAAATGTAAAAGGGCTGTGTGAGATAAATTTGAAGAAAGAATGAGGATTTTGACTGATTTTGCAAAAAAAAAAGTTTATAATATAATATAATAATATAATAAAATAATTGTAATACAACAGTGGTTTTTTCAAAATGCTGAAATCTATCAGGAAAATTAATTGTTGCAATGGTTTTTTTTGTTATAAATGTTGAATATTAAACACACACACACACACACACACACACACACACACACACACATATATATATATATATATATATATATATACATTTAAACTACTACTAAATTATTTAAAATGTTTCATACAATACATTACAATATTATCAAATGATTGAATTTTTAGACAGTCTTAATTGGGACATTATATTAACTGCCTTTTTTTCCTTTTCAAGGAAATTCAATTTTTTTTCGTTTCGTTTTTTTTTTTTTTTTTGAAATTAGTTTTTTTTCGAATTTTTTTTCTTTTTTTTTTTCGAATTCAAATATTTGAACATTGAAAGAATCCAGGGCATTTTAAAACCTCTTGTGAAATTTCAAATATTGAAATTTCACAACGCCAATTGGCCATTGAATGCCAATTCATCAACACTTTGAGACTGCAAATGTGAAATGTTAAAAAAGTCAAATGTGATTTTTCCCAAAATGTTTAGTGCTGGAACTCATTGGTGAATGTGCCTCTTTCTGTTCAAAGGCAATGGTACGGACCAATCGATCCACAGTAGGAGGCTTTTTCCTGGCTGGCAGAAGTATGGTGTGGTGGCCGGTAAGGAAATGGACCCAAATGATGGATGACCAAGCTTTAAACCTTAAAAGCATTTTTTTTTTTTTTGTTCTCCAGATGTGATGGACATAAACTAAATTACATTGCCTGATCATTTACTACATCAATAGGCTATAGCGATCAGTCAATGTGCAAAATGTGGTGGATTTTCTTTCATAATCCGTAAGAAAGACTGAAACAGCCATAAAAGTAAGAGCTGATTATGTAACTATCAATAGCCTGACCAGTGATTTCACTTTATTACAGATATGGCATGATAAAAACCTTGACTGTCCCTCCATTACCTTGATATCATTATAGGGTGAAAGAAATCTTTTTTATTGGGCCATAATGCACTGATGCCATATGTAACCCACAATTCAGTATAGCTGAAATGCTTTGCTCATGCATGCAGTATTTCGTCCCCTTGGAATTATAAGGTTCTATCTGCGTTCTGAACAGTTTTGAGATATTGAGCT